ACAGCAAAGTTGTGACAGAGACTGTAAGACTGCAAAATCTAAATCATAAACTTAAAAATTTACTAGCTAGCACTTTATGGAAAGAGTTTGTTGATGCCTGACTTAGGAGTCTGGTCATTTGAGTTACCCAAATGCTTGAAAAGTACAATCAAATACCATTAATAGGTAAATAAAATCTGACCAAAGTAACACACGAATAAATCAATGCTGGCTAATCACAATATATATAGTTTACAGCGTTCCATATATTACATTATACTCATCAAAACTGTACAGAGTAGAGCACAGAGTGAGATTAGTGGGTAACAGTTTCTACAGTAAAATACTATGTAAATTTTAAAAACCTCCACTGTTCATATAAAGTGAAATAATATATTCACATTTTTCAAAAGGAATTAACTCTAAAGAAAATTCACTTATGCACTGAAAACAATTTGTCTATCTATGCATCCTGCTGCTGCCCTGCAAATCCAATTAAGTGGTGTGTCCCTCAACTATAAGGTCAGAATATTCATGGTTAATTTCAATCAAACTTGTCACAACAGTAGTTGAAGATTGTCTTTGGTGGTCTCAAATACTGACTAGTCCATTTTCCCCACTTTCATCTCAAAAAAATTTATTCACTATTACTGCACTTTGGCAGTGGTATAATGACTGCTGGATTTTAAAAATTCAATTTTTGTTATAATATCAATAGCTGAATGCCAAGTTAATTCTGGAACCTTCCAACATTTCTGAGGTTATCTCTGGATTAACAACCTGAGTAATTTTTTTCTCACTTCTAACTCCTAGAGTGTCCTTACCATTAATCTACTCCTTTATTTCCTCTCACATAAGCTTCTTCTAATTAGGACAAAACCTTCAGAATAGAGCTCTGAAATTCTTGCACATGACAATCAGAATTTAATAATTTAAGAACAAAAGGTGATCTAAAACCTCTGGATGATACCTTATAATCAACTGACTTCATTAGAATTAATCAACTGTATTAGAATAGTCACAATGTTCCCTCAAGTAGATTCATTTAAGTAAGTCCCAAAGCTGTAGAGAGTACATCAAGGTAGGCATC